AAGAAACCTCCTTCTACTCTGCTCTCCCCTTTATCACACTGCGTTTACCTCTTCTATCATGGTGTCCATTGCAGCACAAAGTTCTTCCTTATTTGTTCCAGTTGCCACCATGTTCCTCAGCCGCAAGCAGTACTCTCTCATCTGTTTAAGGAGAAGGTCATTTTATTTTAAGGTTATGAAAGGTGCTGCCAAATCAGTCTTCAGGACTTCCAACCATCCAGGTTGTAACAAGCACCCATTTTACCCTTCATAACATTTTCAAAAGTAAAAAAATCCACTTTGGAATGTCTTGTTAGATATTGAGTCTTTAAAATCAAGATTCTCATTTACATACAAGAAAACAGCACAGAAAAAAAAATCTACAAGCACCTGCAATTCAATGAGTATTTTCTAACTATTCTGAAGCTTAAGCCATCAGCTTCTCTTAAGGCTTGGCTCCCCTTGGTTCTGTAACATAACTAGTGCTGCAACATTCAAACTCATGGCCACCTCTGACTCACAGAGCAGACTGCCTCCGTACCGTAAAATTAATTCTGCAATTCTAATGCATAATTAATATCTTGGCTGATAAAAATAATGGAGCACTTCCCCACTGCATACAGAATTGCAGTAAGAGCAGCACATGCCTCCATTACTGTCATCATCCATAAGGCAGAGAAGCAGTGACAGGAGCTCCCTCAAGACCAGCTGGTCTGCAGTGTTGAGGAGAACAACATCAGCACCACCATTACATCTAGGCTCACTGCAGCAGATTTTGCATTATGTATTTCCAAAGGCACTTTCCTCTTAGCATATTCCTTATGAACTGGAATAATCAAAGCCCATTATAAAAATGCAGTTGAAGCTTTTCCATCTAGTCATAGTTACCTGTCCACCTACACTACCAGCCTCCTGATTAATTCACTTCTGTAGTTTAGGATTCAAGCTACAACCACAAATCAAGCAGGAGCTTTTCAGAGATTTGATCATTAGGAACAATTGCTACTAAAGTTACGTGATGTTCTCAAGGTACTGAAGCCTGACAATGGCCATCTTCTTCCATAAACACATTTTCCTGCTTCATATTTCAAGGTTAACTGCTATGAGTTCAGGCTGCCTTTTGAATAAAACGAGTTCAGTTTCTGAGATGCACTTAAAACTTCAGCCAATGAAAAGAAATGAAAGAATATCTGAAGCAGGGTCATTCCCACCCTTCTTTAATCATAACATACAAGCCACTTTTACCTTATGATTCAAGATCTCATTCATCCTTCTAGTAGCCTCTGTGGTATGAGATTCAGGAAAGTATTTCTTGGGAACAACACCATACTTTTCTGAAAGAAATTAAGTTGAGGGTTAGCAATCACTGCTGGAATGGGATCACTGAGAGGTTCGATTCATTCCATCTGACACTAAGCTCTCCCAGACTAATTAGTGCTTCTGAAGGAGCTCTTTCTCATTAGAAAAAGTTCACATGAAAATGAAGATCCTGAAAAATCTTTCAGAAAAACTGAACTCACGAATCATTCCATGTATTTGGTCTAAGTTTAAGTTTAAGATTTCCCACTCTCCTTCACTCAACATTGATAAAGCATCAGCAGTAACCATTTCCTACATCTCAGTACCAAAGATCACTCCACTCAATGCTCTGGATGTAACAGCAGCAGCCAGAAGTTCTCTCTGCCTTGTTTAAGTGTTTGTAACAGTGAAAAAAGTTACCCCAGGCTTCAAAGAAACAATTTTCTTTTGTGATTCTAAACTTACATTATTGGCTTGTTACCTTACAGAGGCCTTCAATTGCATTATCATACCAATTAAAGTAGATGCTAGTCTAATTCAAACACCAGCACTATGGGTGACGATGCTCCCTAAATTGCACCTTTGTAAGACCAGCACTGCCACATTCCATATGATTTCCCTCTCACCAATCTTTACATCTCCTTTCTTCAGGCTGCAACTCAGGGCAGCTTTGCTTCTGCCTTGAAGACACACCCTGGTCTAACAAAGTCTCTTCTTTGCCTTGTGCACTACGACTGCATGCATGGACACAAAGGCAACAACATCGAGTTGAGACTGCAGTAAAAGGGGACTGAAACTTACTACTGAATTGACAACTGGGGTATCTAATTATCCTGCTGATTTTGAGCTTCTATCAGAAGCAGCAACATGCAAAAATAAAGATCCTAGAGAAGATTTAAGCCTAATGCTTAGAAGATACAATAAGATCCTTGATTGAAGAAGGCAGCCACTAAGTGTCATGCCTTTTTACGAGCTTCCAGGTCTCATACTCAATTTCTATCTACTACAGATTGCCAGAGTAAGGAATCTTGAACACATCAATCATTGAGGCATGCTACAGGCTCTTCCTGCATGCCTCACACCTGAGGATTGAGTACACAGGACAAGAAAACCCATCTTCATGGAAGTTCATCCCTTTTCTCCCTGTGCTAACAACAGAAAGGTGATGGTTACTGGAAAGGAAGTGTGATTAGAAAATAGGTTAGCTGCTTTTTCACATGGTGTATCGGAAGATTAAAGAAAGCAAAGCTGGAAATCAGTGACTAAGTCCAGAAGAACTTACACAATTCTCCAGACTTCATTTCACCTGCAGTGTTTTCCATTAAATTCCATTTTCCATAAATTTCCATTAGCAGAACGCTCTGAGACAGACAACAACTTACTTTCAGGCATAAAAGCATAGAAGATGTAGTAAGCCTTACGCTCAGAGCCAACTTGTTACTCCTCATATTTACCTCAGTCATTTCAGGCTGGTTTTGGACAGGTTACAGTGAAAAGTATAAGCAAACCTCTACTTGAAGTCTTCTGCAGTGCCAGCTACTCTATGACCTAGGAGATCCTACACTGTAGTATCAAGTATAGTATCAAACATTGAGTGAAAGGAAACAATTTTGGATCATCTCCCAAATCAGTGCACAATTTAGGACTCCCAGCACCCAATTCCCTTACCTATAATGTTAACCAACATATCCCACTGGCCTCCATCATTTGTGGGGTTACTGAGCAGGAATTGCACCAGCCTTCCATCTATGGGTTCCTTTTTCTGAGCTGTTTCCACAAAGGCATTTAGAAAGTAGTAACAACGTTCAACCTACAACGAACAGACAGGACAAATCTCTGTGTGATACACGCATGGACTCGTTCCCATTCAGTATTCAGTTCTTTGGAGCTAGATGAAACCATCTGCTCATCCACTAACATGCTTGTTTTCCCTCTTCCATCTCAGGTCTTAACCGAAAGCTTATTTCTAGTGCAGACCATGTATTTACAAGTGAGTTAGTACAGAGCTCGAGGGCAGAGGAAACAGGAAATATGAAACAAGTTATATAATGAAACCTGGCACAAACAAGTGCTAGGTTTTCTCAATTTCCCTTCAGGAAAAAAGCAAACAGCTCCCAGATCAGTAGGTGGCAAGCACGACTGAAAGAGAGCTCCACAGAAAATTACAGTCAGGCTTAGGCTTCCCGCTGGGCCTACCATAAATAACTTTTAAAATACTCAGAACACTTGAAAGACTTTTACTACTTCAAAACATTAACATCTTGATGACTTCCTCCTCAAGCCACAAGTCTCACTTTGCCCAATCTTAATTTCAAATATATATTTAAAAACTTCTGGTGGTTCTTTGCACTCACATTTTCTATCTGGATTGTTCAGAGAGCCCAGCTTAAGAAAAACTCTGCCCCACTACTAAGACTCAATTGTATAAGCATTCCTAGCACAGTCTGTGGCCTGCAGTACTGTACCTTGTCCCAAAAAAAGAGATATGACTGGCTGAATTCAAACTCTTCAATGTTGTACTTCTTCATGAAGGGAAGACGCATTGCATTGAGGCAGGAAAAGATCCAACATCTCCCTGAGGTCAAAGAAACAAGAATTAAACTGCAACACTTGTATTCAGAGCTGTGTAAGGGCTTAGAGCAACACCATGAATTTTGCATTCCATTTTAAGCATCTGGACCAGTGCCCTGGCCAGCACTGTAGGTTACTGAATAACCAGTGAGTTCAGAAGTCCTGGATGGACTTGATGATCTTAGTGGTCTTTTCCAACCTTAATGATTCTATGTTCCTATGAACCATGCATGCAGGTCTCCCAACTGCTTCCATCTTGCTCTTTACAGAAGGGAAAGAGGACCAGAAGGCAGATATCACCCTGCTGCAGGGATTTCATGTCAGATCACCCAGAGAACTTCCAGCAGCTGCTCTCAGAACTCACTGCCACCAGAATCCCTCCTAGAGCCCGGCAGTGAGCCCACCCTGCCATGCCCAACCCTAAACAAAGCTCCTCTTGATCTGAGACCCCCAGCAGAGATTCCTACACCCATAGGGAGGTAACCAACCACCCTATGTGCCCCAAAGCCCCCACTTACCAGAATTCTTCTGGTTGGTGACAGGCTTGCCTTCGGCGGGCACGGCGTGTTGGAAGACCTGTATGGTGTCCTGCACCACCTGCCGCTGCAGACAAACCTCCAGCGGGTCACTGCAGGTCGCCACGTTCTGGGCCAGCAGGAACTGCGGCTCGGCCCGCAGCCGCCGAGTGAAGGCCGCGGCCTTCTCGGTGCTGAGCCCTGCTGCAGGGGATGGAAGGGGGGAAGGGGAAGGCAGCATAAGCGCCCTGCAGCGGGATACAGGACGACCCCAGGCCCACAGCCCCTCGCGGGCTTTCATCACGGAGACCCCACCCCAGAAATAAGCCTCCCCCTCCCCAGGCCCACCACCACGGTGAGCCCACCCCCCCCCGGGGACTAGGCCCCCCACACGTGCGCCCGCCCCTCACCACGGGCATTCATGGTGCCGGAAAGCGGAGCGCCGCACAACAGCCGAACCCTCCCAACGGGTCGCGCGCGCCCCGCCGGAAGCGGCTCTTATAGCCCCGGCACCGGAAGCCGGAAGTGGGGCCCGAGCCGTTCGAGTTAAGGGTGGCGGTGGGAGGGGGACGGCGGGCGGAGAGGGACAAAAGGCGTCGGATTGCGCGAGCCGAGCCCGCGGCAGCTCACGAAGCTCCGCCCCCTTTCCGCGCCGCGCCCTTTTCTCCAGAACGTTCGGCGCCGCGGTCTGGCGCTCATCGCGATGGTCTGCACGGAGCGCCCTGCTGTCCCGACAGCAGCGTGTGCACCACAGACTCGAGTTAACGTATGGCACGGTGCGTTTATTGGCGGTGAGGTGCAATCCCGAAACGAAGCCAAGGGGCGGTCGGGGGGGGAGGCAGACAGGCTGCGTGGCCCGCCATCAGCGCGGCATCCCAGGCTCGGGGCTGCGGGACGAGGTGCGGCGGTCCCTCAGCCTCCTCAGTCTGCGTTCTGAGCAGTGATTGCGATCAGCAGCTGTGAAATGATGCTTGTATTGTCACAAAGCTCGTGTCCGGAGTTGTGTTTAGGTGCCTAATCTCGTGCAGGTGTGCCACCACTTCGAATGGGGTTTTCTGGGTATGCAAAGCTTCCCTGCCATCTTTACCTGCAGCAAAAGGGAACAACGTGGAAATTCACTACCAGTGGAGAAAAAAAAAATAAAGCCAACGGCTGAATTGAACTCAGCTCCCAACGGCTGTGGCTGCACACACAGGTGAGGTTTTTCCCCCCTGCACGGAGTGTTTTCCTTTCACTTTCATGTGTGTCACTGCCCTGTGTCCCCACGTCCCAGCCCTGCAGCTGTGAGGGGTGACAGCAGCCATCCAAAGCTGCAGGGCAGCATGTGGGTGCTATCATGTTTTGCTAGAGCTTGAAGAAGCGGGTTCCATTCAGGGCCTTATTCTGGGAAGCTGTGTGGTTGTGCAGTCAGATACTTACAGGGCTGTTTCATTTGTTTTTTTGCAGCACTGAAAAGAAAGAGAGAATGCTGTTACTGTCTGCGTTTTCTGCTCAGAGAGGTGTTATTACTGAGCTCTTGCACGTGTGTAATTCACTCCCCTTAAAAAGCCTGAGATTTGATTTATTTGCTAGTAATTCTCAAGGAGCTGATATTACACAATGGCTCCCTAGCACTGGAAAACAGCACTACAAAGCAGCCCAGAAAAGGTGGAAAATAAAAGGACATTGAAGCATTACGTTTTTCTTAAGAAACTGAGTCTTTGCATACCTTAAATATTTTGTCTTTCTGAGCCACGATTCCAAAAAGCGCAGTGAGTGCAACCACCACAGCAGCAGCGATAACAGCCTCCGTGGGGAAAACAGTTTTTTTATCTGTGAAGAGGGAGAGGAGGTTGACTGTTAGATTGGTGCAGTCACATAATAAAGTCATTTCACAGAGCTGGAGAGAGGCACGTTTCTGTGTTGGTGAGTGGAAGGAGGAATTGAAACGCTGGTTGCTGAAGTAGATTCCCCAGGGTGTGGTTGTCTAGCTGTGCCACCCATAGCCCAGCTTTCAGGACATCCATAGGAGTGATGGGCAGTGGGTGCCTGAGTCTGCTGGCTCACTGAGATGTGGGCACCCAGCCCAGCTCCCTGTAGCCCATGGAGGCACCATTATTTCTGGAGGACAGCACAGCACCATTGCCTTAAGCAGCTTGTTTCTTCAGCTTGACAGAACAGCGTGGTTAGAATAAGAAGCTTCAAGTGAGACTTAAGGTGCTTTAAAGCACGCTTGGATGTGCCCTGTCATCATGGGAAGTGAGAAAGTGGGATGAGTCCACTTCAGGCCACACTTGCCAAATGCTTTTGAATAACAGGTAAAGCAGGATGGGCCTTCTCTGGTGCTGTGCAGGCAGGCACAGGTGCACAGAGAGCTCCTTGCTGCTCTCAGAAGTTCATGTGGGCAATTTCCATGATGTAAACCCACTTACAGTGGGTTGCTACCATTGCAAAAGCCAATGCAGAGCTGGCCTTACAACTTAATGTTTAGTAGTAATTTTGTTACCTTCAACTATCAGGTGGATATCCTTACTGCTGTCTCCGCAAGAAGATTTCACCTCACAAGTGTAGGTCCCGTTGTCAGACTTTTGTGCTTTCGTGATAGAGAGCTGGAAGGTCTCACTGTTCTGGTACACCTGGTAGTGGTCTTCTATTGTCAGGATGGCGTTGTTCTTGTACCATGTTGTTTGGCCTTGAGGGTTGGACTTGGCACTGCAGGACAGAGTGACGTCTTTGCCTTCTTCAACACTGATGGTCTGATCTTCACCCACAGAGGGAGGAACTGTTCAGAGTAAGAGCAGTTAAAGAGGTCATTCCTGTAAGTAAGTAGGTTCCCTTTTCACATCAACTGCAACACCATTTGTAGGGAACCTGCTTTAGTAGGGGAGTTACTTTGACAATCCCCTGAGGTTCCTTCCAGCCCCTACAGTTCTGTGATCTGAGCACACATGCTGTCCTGTGCCCCATCGTGATCCCCATGGATCAGCTGGGCAGTCATGACATTTACTACTGTGCCTTTCCTGCCCCGACTTGCATCCTTGAGAAAGAGTCTAGGTGGAGGCAGGGATGTAGCCAGAAAATCTTACTTAAAGGGCCCACCCATTGCCTGTAAAAAGGCATTAGAACAGGCTATAAGCACCACTGTAGAAAGGGAGTGACTTATCACCTGAGCTATCTCCTCCTCAGCACATTTTTTCCCGGTGAATACAATGTACCAGGGTACAAAAACATCCTGCCTTCAGCTGAGCACTTGGGGTGGGGCAGAGCCCACCCAGCCATCCCACACTGATAGCAGCACTCACAGCGGACGTCCAGGACCACCGAGACCTGCACGGACTGGTCCCGTACCAGCTTGCACGTGAAGGTAACGCCATTGTCAGACTCAGAGACCGGAGAGATGCAGATGTTGCTGATGTTCATTTTATTCTCATCTTTCAGATCCACTTGGCTGTCTTCTCGGTACCAGCGCAGCTCCTCGGCTTGGCTCCTGTTCTGTGCTAGGCAGGACAGGGAGGTGAGAGACCCGGGCGATGTGATCAGGGTGAAGTCATCGTTGTAGTTATTGACAGACAGTTCTACACCTGCAAAAGAAGGAGAATGAGGCCATTTAGGCGTCCTACCCTGCACCCTTTCCACAAATGCCTGTGGTTTCTCTAAGCCTTGAGCTTGGAGGAAACAATCAGAGCGTTAGGCTTCAACATATCACTTCTCCTTCAGGTGGGACTTCAGTTCCTAAGATAGGAAACAACTTTATCACACGTTTCCCTTCATGGTTACTTGAAATCAAAGTGAAAGTTTTGCACCTGACTGCATGAACTCCAAAGCCTGACTTATGATAGATAACAAAGCATCTGAAAACCATGTCGTGGCACTGATAATGTAACACACAGTGAGAGAACACCCTGCCAACAGTGCCCACCCTCCTGCTGCAAATCACTGTTGTAGCATATCTGTGCCAAGAGTTTTTGTGTCCACAGTTTGGTGTTCTGCTTTTTGGCTGGAGCTGAACGTTGTATTAAGCTGTTCGTCAGCTCCTCTGCTGCGGCCAGAAGATTGGTGAGTCACAGTTAATCTAACGTAGAGCCTCAGGATGGATTAAATGGGAAAACAATATGGGAAATAAGTTTTTCTGTCAAGCTGGAGCTCTCTAATTTAGCCAGTGTCATGAATGAATGAGCTGAAAAATGCATCTCAGAATAAAAGGCAGTGCGGTCCTGTGAGTACAACAGCCCAGAGCTCCTTGTCTCCCCCTTGGTGTTCCCAGGCCAAGTGCATTGCAGTTCTCACTTCATGGAGCAGCTGTGAACATGGTGGCCTCATCGTTCCTGTGCAGCTGACTGAAATGCTGAAGCTTCCCCATTCCCTGCTTGGCTGCTCTCAGAATTGGAGGCCAGTTTTTAGACAGTCCTGCAGGAGTGATCTCCAGAGCATATGAAGACAGGGTGCTGCCATTACCTGTCACCCCAGGCAGAACCCAACCCCAGCCAGTTTCACCTGCCAGCACGATGGAGTTTGGACAAACAGTGCTGCATTTTTCCATCACTTACCTGTGGCTACGTGTGCCAAAAAGCAAAGCATGAGGATGTGCACTCGGCAGGAGGCTGTGAGTCTGCTTCTCTGTGCCATCATGGGGAGCCCAGCTGGTGCCTGCCAAAGAGAGGCAGGGTCACTGCATTGACTGCAGCTGTTAGGAGCCTTTGGTGGCGCTGGGTCGGTGTCACCACAGCATAAACTGAGCCAATGTCTTGCTTTTCTCCAGGGGGTGTTTTTATCTTTGATTGCTGCTGCTTGAGGTCATCGTCTCTCACTCTCTGCCCATCCCTGACTTACCTTGGGAAGAGTCTCAGAGATGTGGCTTCTGAAAAGAAATGTGCAGCCCTTCCTCTCCTTATTTATAAGCTCTGATTTTTAATGTTTTATGGTATGGTAAGAAGTGAATCCATAAAATGGGTTCAAGGCCACATTTAATTCCTGCATTTCTGAGCTCCCAGAACACTGAAGAGAAGTTCTTGCTGGGCTCTGCTGGCTTTTTATGAGTCTTGACAAGACAATGAATAACTAAGGAGAAAGTTCCTGCATCAGCCATAAAGACCTCCTGCCAAAAATAACACTTCTTCCCTTTCAGCTTTCTGGCTGTTCACGATGCTGTTTCAAGCTATAAGAATTGTGATTCTGTGAAGCTTACCCTAATTATCCTCTGAGGAGACTCCAGCTGCCCCTTCCTGCCCCATGTCCTGCTGCTGGGTCCTTCTTAGGCTGCAGAAAGAGAAAGTGCTCTGGTTCAGACTTTGGACTGGCAGAGCAGGGAGCAGAGACATGCCCTGTAATGCTGAGTACCCTCAGGGTACACTGTGCTTAGCTCAGGTCACTGCTCTGCAATTATATTTCATGTGAAGAAGGAAGTTTACAGTAGGTGAGGATGTAAAGGATGAAAGAGTGAAGTTTGGGAGCGTATTTTCAGTCTATAAGCAAGAGTGAGGGAAAGAGATCATTGGGTAGCAGGGAGCTTGGTGGTGACACAGGGCACAGCATTGAATGGGAGCTGGGGGAAAAGTGTGTGCCAGGTTTGCCCCAGGTTTGTGTGATGGGCAGAAGGATGAGCTCGGGTTCGTTGGGTTTGTGGCCGTTGAACGATGGCAGCGCTGTTTTGCAATGTGATTTGAGATGTACTGTAAGAAGGGAGATTAGAAAAGCAAGGTGTTAACTTGGCCAGAGATACGGGAAGGCAACAGTTTAAAACTGATAAGGAATTACTTTCGCAATGACTTTTTACATATGTATTTTTATATAGGGCTTCATTATCTTGTGGGTGTCTTAATTACCACCATGATTAGAGTTTTGTGGGTTGCATTATCCACCTTCTCATTATACTTAGGAGGGACATAAGCTTCGTTCCAGAATGCAAAGCAGCCACCAGTGAGTCACAGCAGGAGGGTCCCCTTCAGAGAGGCAGGAGCCCCGTGGCTGTCCTGCAAGGAGCCAGCTCTGCTGTGTGCTGTTTGTGTCAGGGAGGGCTCCATGGGCACGGGCTGGAATTATCCACTGGCTCCTCCTTGCATCCTTATGGCAACAGTACACCAACAAACCCCAAATAAGGCTGTTCTTACGTATGATTCTGAACAGCCCCAAAGGGAATAAATTAATAAACGCCATTCTCTTCGGGTGTAACACAAGCCTTAGAAACCTGAGAAGAAATGGTTTAGAACGTGAAAGAGACTGTTGGCTGCGTTACCCTCCAGCTCAGAGTCAGGGCAGTGTGTGTCCCAGTCTGCCCTTGGTGCCTGCAGAGGCAGAGCACTGCTCAGAACCCCCAGGGCTGTTGCTGGCAGAGGGTTGCTCTTGCAGTCTGGGGCATCCCAGGATGCACACAGGTGTGTGTGAGTTGGGATTGCCTCTCTGCGTTGGCTGGCAGTGCCTGTAACTGGCTGCAGTCCTGTGGTGCTGGTCCTCCAGGCTCTGCCCCAGGCTGCTCCTTGTGGTTCTCCTCTCCTAATCCCTTTTTAATACGTGGTGCCACATGTTTTGCAACTTCCATTGTTTAGGAACACCCAAACCCAGCTCGGAGCAGGAGAGCAGGGCTGCCAGGGAGTGCTGCTTGGGCACCCTCTGCTCTGTGCTGCCTCCCACAAACCCCATTTTCCCCAAGTATGATGACTGGAGACGTGCCCTGCTTTTGCAATCAGACTCAGCCCATACCCCACATACTTTCCACTATTGGCACAGAAGAATCTGAAGTTTCGTTGTTTTTTTTTGTTTGTTTTTAATATATAATTTTGCTCATCATCATATTTCTCGATCGTCCTTAAATGGAAGGTCACACTCTCTGGCACTGAATGCAGAGGAAAGATGGGCAAGTTTTAGCCCTGGGAGAAAAAGAACAAGGAAAAGAACCAACCCCTGCATGA